TTTCTGCATCAATTGATAGGACCATATGGTTCTTGTTCTTTGCCTTGTTGATGTGATGAATTACATTGATTGTTTTCCTTATGTTGAACCATCCTTAAGCACTAGTCTTTCTGCTACAATGCAAATGCACTTATTGAAAAAAATTTTTGAAAGTCTAGAGAAATCTTGATTATTTTTGAACATAGATATGAAATAAAATGAAGATAATGGTGTTTTTAAAGGTTAGTTGGTTACCCAAGTTAAGAATTTGGACTGTTTTGCTTCTTTGCTAGTGATGTTTGTGTTCAGTAGTCATAAGAATGTGTTCATAAATTATTTTGAAACTTAATGAATATTTTTAAATAGAAAAGATAAGTAGAAAATTACAAAATGAAAAATGAGCTATCTGCTTGAAATACTGCTCTTTGTATTGAATCAAGGATCCAGAAAGAAGCCCCTTCATTTGATTAGCTCTTCCGACAAATCTGGATTGGACCTTCTAAAAGTGGAATATATTAAGGTAAGAGATACAGAGTATTTATGTTATTTATTGAAGGCATGAAACAGTCCCCTGAAGGAAAAAGAAAGGAGTTGATAGTCAATGGCTCTTAATGTATATAGCAATTTTTAAATTATAATTTTTTAGTTTCCTTAGTACATGACTTTTTTTTTTAAATTGTATTATTCTTAAGTGTACCGTCAAATCAGATCTGACTGGTACAGGAGGAGATTGCCCCCTCCTTCTCCAGCAGAGCGTTTGAACTGCATACGTCTGGGATTGCAGTGCAGTGTCATGCCACTAGGCCAACAGAGCTCCCCAGTACATGATTTTTACAAAGCCCCTAGCTGCTTTTCTAAAAGATTAAAACCTGGGATGAAGTATGCTCTGAGTGTACCTATCTTCTGGGTCATATTCACCTACCTATACTAAAGTAGTTGTATGTATAGGTAGTATTTGGCTGATCATACTGCTTAAAAAAGGATGAAGTCATCCTTCTATTTTCACAATAATGGTCTTATGCAATATTTGTCCTTATGAGACTGAGTTCACTCAGCATCATGCTTTCCAGTCTCTCCCAAGTTATCTAGTATTTTTTGAAATTATTGCTCCTGACTGCTGTGTAGTATTCCAGTGTGTGAATATACCACAATTTCTCAATTCATTTGATTGTGATTAGACTAGTAAAACATAAATGGGGATTTAAGGGAGGAAGGAGTAGCAGTAGAAGGGTGAAGGTGTGTCGGGAGAAAGTATGGGGTCAAACAATTTGGTGTGTTGGAGAAAGGTTGTAAAGGAAATGGGATAGATGCGGTAGGGACCTGAAAAGATAGGGTAATGGGGGCCATAGTTCAGTGGTGATTAATTTTATATAACACATTCTATGGGAATGATTTGATGAGATGTATTGATTCTGTGATTGGGTTGGTGGGAATGAGTGTGTCAGAGACTGCGAGCTTGGCACAGGATAGAGTGGCATTTAGAGCTCTTATACATAGGGTGGCTATGAGTCACAAGTGACTCGATGGCACATAACAACAACAATTAACAACAACATGGGAATGATTGCATGAAACACAATATAAATGAAGGAAAGTGTGAAACACAATGTATACAAATTTTGTATGCAAACCAAAGTAAAATAAATTTTTAAAAAAAATGAAGTCAGTTTGAGTTGGGTTAGGAGGAAGCTGTCAATATTGGGAAAATACTAGACTCACTGCCCTTGAGTCAATCACTTCTCATAGTGAGCTTCCATCAGTTTGCAAGCCTGTACATCTTTAAGGAAGCAGACTACCTATCTTTGTCCCATCAAATTGTGTGACCCTATTATTACTTCCCCCCTGTCCATCTTCCTTCCTCTGCTCCCCCCCACTCCTACCCTTGCAGGAGCAGTGATTTTGAAAATCACTACCTACTTAGAAGGGACTGGAGAGTATTGTGCTAAGTGAACTAACTCAGTCCCATAAGGACAAATACTATATAAGACCATTATTGTAGAAATAGAAAGGTAATTAGTAAAATCTGTATGAGAATCTAAGGAGAGAGAAGGGGCGCAGAGGGATGAGGATGCATGGGGGGTGGTAATCATAGGGTTGCACAATTTGATGGGTAGTGGTTAAAGTGGGTAAAGCAAATGTGAAAGATATGGTACATAAAACAATGTATAAGAACTTTGTAAGTAAACCAGTATAAAATAAAAATTTGTTATTTTAAAAAAGGCAGTGGTGATGAAGGAGGAATCTAAGCTGCTCTGAAGGAATTGGCAAAAAACAGGCTGCAGGAATTGATGGAATACCAACTGATATATTTTATCAAATGGATGCTGCTCTGGACACACTTAGCAGGTTATGCCAAAAAATCTGGAAGATAACAACCTGGCCAACGGCCTGGAAGGGATCTATCTGTTTACATTTATTCCCGTTCCAAAAACAGGTGACCCAACAGAGTGTGGAAATTATCAGATAATATCACTATATCACACGCAAGCTGGATCCTGTTGAGTATTATCCAGAAACAACTGGAATAGTACTTGAGTGGAGAACTTCCAGTTGTGTAAACTGAGAACTGAGATCAGAGAGGCTGTGGCACTAGGGACATCATAGCCAATATTAGATGGATCTGGTTGAAATTGTGTGTCACAACAAATTGAGGCTAACCTTAAAAAGAATGCGAATCTCAGAATACTTCTTGTGCTAATGTGAAACCTATATTTGAACTCAGAAGCAGTAGTCAGACTAGAGCAGGAAAACACTGCTCAGGATCAGGAAAGGTGTGCATTAGGGATGCATCCTATCCCCATACCTTTTCAATCAGTATGCAGACTAGATCTATTAGGAGGCTGGACTTTTTGAGGAGGAATGTGACATCAGGATTGGAGAAAGACTCTTCAATAACCTGCATTATGCAGATGACACAAACTTTTTTTCTGAAACTGAGGAGAACCTGAAGTTTTTGTTGCAGAAGGTCAAGGACTGTTAGTCTTCAATGTGGATTGAAGGGCAACATCAAGAAAACAAAAGATTCTCACCATGGGGCCAATTGGGAGCTTTATATGATGGACATAGAAGAGATTGAAAGAGATTGAGATTGTTAACAACTTTAGCTTGCTTGGTTCCACTATCAACATTCTTGGCACCAGCAGTCAGGAAACCAAAAGATGAATTGCATTGGGAAAGTTTGCTGTCAGGGACCTCTCTAGAGTATTGAAGAGCAATGATGTCAGTCTGGAGACTAAGGAGGGCCTGATCCAGGTGTGTTCTTCACAATTACTTGACAAAAATCAGAGAACTGAACAATGACAAAGAATGATAAAAGAAGGATCACAGCCTTTTAATTGTGGTTCTGGAGAAGAGTGTTGAACAAACCATGGACGACCAGAACAAACAGGTCTGTCCTGGAAAGGGTGAAACCAAGCTGTTCTCTGGAGGCAAGGATTTTGAAGCTCCCTCTCACATACTTTGGGCATAGTGCCAGGAGGGACCATCTTTGGAGAAAGATACCATGCTAGGAAAGGGAGGGGTGGACAGCAAAAGAGTAGAATACCGAAGGTGAGATGGTTTGACTCAGTGACTGGAGAAATGGGCTTAGGTGTTTCAAAGATGATGAGATTGGCTCAAGATAGGGCAAGGTTCAGAGCTAATGTGTATAGGTTTGCTATAAGTTGCAAGTGACTTGATGGCACATAACACAAAAACAACTATATATACACGTGTGTGTGTGTGTGTGTATATATGTGTATGTTTTATATATATATATAAGTAATGATATGTAAATTAACCAGAGTTTATAATTTACTTTGATCTTTATATCTATTCTTAGAACTTTTATTTTTTTTTCAGGCTGATAAGAATGGGCCTAGTTTTCAGACCACTTTTGAAAATGCTGAACAAACAATTAAGGTAAAAAATTCTCTAAAAAAATAATCTTATTTGAAAATGCTCCTGTATCAAAGTTTTAAATATCATTTGAAGAATACTGATTAAGTAATTTGGAGAAATAAATTATATATTAACTGTATAAATGCTTAATATGCTCTTTGTTTTTAATTTGGGTTTATAAAGCTGCTGTTTTGCTTTACTATATCACACCTTAATGTCCTTAAAAGTTTTAATATTATTTCTTTTTAAAAAATGGGAAGGAAATGGTTATATATTAAGGACCTTGGATTTACAAAGAACTAACAAGGTTCTAAACAAAGCAAACTAAATAGCATTGTTAGTGCACCAAAAAAAGTGTGATTACAAGGAAAAATGTTGGAGTGCTTGAGATGCTGTCCTACTTAGGTAGTAGCATAGGTGAAGAAGAGACAAGATGTGTCTGCAGGTTACATGAAAAGAAAATGAGTGAGAATGGTTGTCGGGAGTTCTGTTGGCCTAGTCCATAGGAAGTTGTGCTGCTAACTCAAAGGTGGCACCTCTCTGGAGGTTTGAATCCACCAGTAACTCCATGGATGCCAAATGGGCAGTCTCCGCCCCTGTGATTTACAGCCTCCAAAAACTCACTGGAGCTTCAGTTATCAGTGAGTTCTGACTTGATGACAGTGAGTTGTTTGAAGGATGGGAAATCTGTTGTAATATTGTAACTTTCCCTCCTCCCTCCTGTAGTTAATGTCCATTTTGTTTTCAGGAAATGAAAAAAATAATCTTTCATGTAAGCAAAGATAATTTTTGTTATATATTAATTTACTATTTAGAAAATAGTAAATTTGTTGTAAGTGACTTATATTGCTCTTTTACCTTTCTGGAGTCAAGTGTTTTTTTGTTGTTGTGTTTTTTTCTTCTTTTTTTTTTTTTTTTCTAAAAGTGCCATACCTTTTTTTCTCTCTGTAAATGGTCTATTTTTATTTCTTCTTAAGTGATAGTGTCGAGGGATGATTTCTTAAGAGATCCAGGAGCCTCTTTGAGTAATACCTAGAAAGTTCTGACTCAGATATAAGAATTTGATAGGATATACTGTGCAAGAAAGACACCAATCTAAGCAAGAGCAAGCGAAAGAAATGCAAGTTAATTTGACACTCATAACAGAATATGAAGGGGTCAGGAAAGGCTGACATTAACTTATATATGAATATATATATATATATAATGTTTTTCAGTGAAGGTCAAATTTACACAGTGTTAGGCTAAAAATAAAAATGGAAGTTGAAGCTCAACTCAAAAAGATCCCATGTCAGGACATTTTCTGAAACCAGAACTCAGAAAATCCTATGTCAGGACATTCTCCAGAATTAGAACTCAGAAATTCCCATATCAGGACCTTTTCCAAAACCAGAAACTTTATGCACCAATGAGCTCTACAGCAACATCAGCTCATCTCACAACCCCCTAAAACACACCTGCTAAAACCCCGTATATACCCCCTAAGCCCAGCCCTCATATTCCCCCTTGCTGAGTAGCCCTGTTTCTACCTCCACATGGTTCGTGGCTTCTGTCAGAAACCTTTCAAATAATAGCACCCCATCAAGAGTGGTCATTAGTTTTTATACTTGGATTAAGTGTTTATCTGCTTAATGTATTGCTATTGCTAATTCAAAGTTTTTACATTCAAAAAGAACAGTTTACATAGTTACTAGTAAACAGAAAAGTTGTGATATAATGTACATATGACTAAAAAGGTACTATTTCAAAAGGTAAATTCTAATTCAGGAAAGCTGTCCGTAAACAGACAGCTTAAAGTACTTTACATGACTGAAGAAAGAGAAGTAGCATTCTAGGGCAAAGCAACCAGTTTTGCAGGCTGGAGGTATCTGATGTCAGTTGTACAACTGCACCATATGTTTGAATAATCCGGAATTTACTAATATCATGCTATCAAATGCCACATTTGAAATGATTTCTAGACAATCCTAGCACATGGGGAGCTAGAGTTTCATTTAAGTGTTATAAGATCATAGTCAATAATTACTGACCATGCAATCAACCTGTATTTGTTGAATATTGGGATGACTATGAGTAGCAAATTAAAGGACCCACAATGGTTATATGCTTTAGAAAGAAATAATTGTGTTATCTGATCCAACTAATGTACTCTGGAATAGTGTGAGTGACTGGGGTAATTGGGATGGGTGTATCGGAGATGGTGTGATTGGCACAGGACAGAGCAGAGTTAAGGACTGTTGTACATACGGTCGCTATGAGTCGCAAGTGACCCGATGGCACATAAGAACAACAACAATTGACTCTGTGCATGTCCTGTTGGAGGAGCCTGAGTTGTGACTCTTCTGTCTGGGTGGTAGAAGACAGAAAAGCTTTGCATTTAGGATCCATTATGGAGAGAAACTAAAGGGAAAACATCAGACATAAGAAAATTAATTTTCTTTTTTAAACATTTTTAGGTAGCCTTTTCATCTTTAAATCTGTTGCTGCAAACACAAGCTCTTCTCTCTTCTATTAATTACTTGACAAATATTCTTCCATCAGATGGTCAAAATATGGACGATGTTACAGAGACACAAATTTCAACTGAAAAGCACCAAAAAAATTCTACACTACAGAAAGGTATGAAAACTGCTTTTTTGTTGTTAGTAGAGTTTTCAAACTCTAGAGTAGAGCTGTGGTAGCATATAGTGGTAAGGAGTTGCACTAGTAACCTCAAGGCAGGCTTTTTGAATCCACTAGTTGCTCTGTGAGAAAAATACTAATATTCTTATATTGCTTGATTTACAGCATCCAAAAACCCAATGGTGGCTTAGTTATGAGCGTGTTCCAATTTAGTTACACATAACAACAGAGTAGTATAAGCCATTTTGTTTTCTTCAGTCCTTTTCTCCAAGTAAGAGTTTTATGAGTGCCTTGTGTGTAAGCCAAATGTAATTAGTGCACTTAGTTTGGCAAATATTTATTTAGTTCTTATTGGCAGTAGCCTTATTGGCTTTTACGTAGCTAATAGAAAGAGAGGATTTCTATTTACCCAGAGCACTTCCTCTCCTCTCTGAGACTCCCAAAGGGATTGCATAAATAGGGTTTGTCTTCCTTTTCACTTTACAAATAAGAATGGTAACGTATGGAAGTCCGAAGGCAGGAGTGCAGGCATAAAATCTTCCTGGTCAAGAGGCGGAGTTTGGATCAGAAAGAATTCTGTTTGTTAACTGCTACTTAAACTCTCTCTCTCTCTGTGTGTGTGTGTGTGTGTGTATGTTCAGGCACATTGTTTAGCTTCTCTGCATTTCTTTCTTTGTTTAGCTTCTGTGCATTTCTATGCTCTTGTCTTACTCATTTAGCTTTTGTCTTTGCTTTTAAATTTTAACCCTTAAGAAGAAACATTTAAAGTGCAGTAAGTATTTGAAATTTTAAGCCCTTGAGAATTTTATTATGTACACACACACACACACACACACACACACACACACACACACACACACACCTTGTGGTTGACTCAATAAGAATAGATTTTAAATTAGAATCCATTTGTGATTGAATACTTTGCTTTATTTTTAGTGATTGTATCCACTAAAGATCGTGATATTATTGGCTTCAGACTCTTTGCCAAGTTGAATGCTTTCTATGTCATTGTTTGTGATGAAAAAAACAATATTGCCGAAATCAGGATTCAAGGTAAAAGTTATTAAAGTTATTGAAAGTTTGCTTCCCCCTGTTAGATATAAAAAAGAGCACGAGGGAGAGAAATAAAGAAAGAAATTGATCCCATGAACAGGCCTTTATTATGTTGTCTGAGAGGGATGCCACGTGACCTAGCTGCATGACATGCGGACAGGATCAAAAAGCGGGCAGTTTGAGAGGTTTCCTTTTTATAGAAGTCCTGGGGAGGACTAAGATGGTACTTCTCGGAATTTGGCATGTTAATTAAGTTAGGTTTTAGTTATTTTTAATCAAGCTCAGACTCTTCTCAGGATCCATTATCTGGTCTGGTTTTTGATGTGACCAGCTTAGATGTTATCAGGTTTATCAGGAAGTGATCAGGCTTGGGAGTGGTGGTACAACTGCCATATTCTTCCCTTCACCCCCCTCACCCTATTCCCAGTTACTAAAGAATATATACTAATGTTACTGAACACAAGGGGTTCTTTCTGTAGTCAATGACCAGTAAGACATATGGATTGCAGTATCCATAAATGCACTTTATTACACAGATCTGGGAGACATCTAGTCACCTCCAAGAACTCTAGCTCATTTAACAATGCACTTTTGTTAGTAAAAAAAGATAATTCATATACAATTTACATATAGCTGGAGAACCAGCTTCAGAGAAATCAAACTACTTTACATGACTAAAGACAGGAGACAGAGAATTTGGAGGCTAAGTAACTAGTTTCGCAAGCTGAAGAAAACTGATGTTAGTTTTATAATTATGTAACAATAGTTTTATAACTGATACATATATAGAGAATTCTGAACTTATTAATACCACCGTATCATTCCCCCCTCTTTTTATATAAGTCTTATAAGAGAAACTTACCACCCGATTAGCATGTTGTGATCCGGTAAAGATCATATTTAATTAAGTCCTTGGAAAATGGAAAAAATCAGAAAACTAAGGAGTAGTTTGTCTTCTTTTTTTTCCTTATGTTTTTTCTAAACTTAGAGTGCATCCACTGGTCTGAATTTGATCTGTGAAATATTTTCGTACTTTCAGTGTAAATTACTGAAGGAATCCTCAGAAAATTTGTACCAGAAGTAGTTTCTTCAAACAAATTGAACATTCAGGAAATGATTTCTTAAATGAATTGATAGATTTAATTCTTTATCAGATTAAAAGATCTGATATAGAAACTTAATTTGTCAGTTATGGGTCCAAATATTACCAAATGTTTTGAAGTCTTACCTTCAAGAGAAAATGTTGGAAACAGGTCTTAATTATTGTCAATTTATGGAAATTACTATAATTTTTTCCCCAGGCCTAGATTCTTCTCTTTCTCTTCAGTCAAGAAAACAGTCACTATTTGCCAGACTGGAAAATATTATTGTTACAGATGTTGATCCTAAGACAGTTCATAAAAAAGTAAGTGATAATGTAGTTCATAAAAAAGGTAAATAGATAATGTTGTTTTATTTTAAAACTTATTTTACTTTAAAATATATTAATAAATTATCTTTTAAGAAGAATGTTTTCATGAAGATTACATATGGGAAGTTTAAAATATAAACCATTTCCAAAAGGAATTTTTTTGTTGTTTTCTGAATGAGATTTTGTTTTATTATTGTCTTCCTGGATGAAGTACATTAAGATCTCTGTTTTTCAGGCTGTCTCGATAATGGGAAATGAAGTTTTTCGTTTTAACTTGGACCTGTATCCAGATGCAACTGAGGGAGATTCCTATAGGGACATGTCTAAAGTCGATGGTGTGGTATCATTGAATGTTGGCTGTATTCAGATTGTGTATCTTCATAAATTCCTGATGTCACTTCTGGTAAATTTATTCTTTGTATCTTGAATATTCAACTTGGTGATCTTGCAATAAGTCTGATTATTAAGTTTATATCTTATAAATTTCAATTTTAAATGAGAATTATTCTGTCTATCCATCTGTACACACACATATGTTACTGAACACAAGGGGTTCTTTCCATAGTCAATCACCAATAAGACAAACGGATTGCAATATCCATAAATGTACTTTATTACACAGATCTGGGAGACGGCGAGTCACCTCCAAGACTGTCTCCCTTCTTGTTCAGTTAGAAAATATTCTCATGACGTTTTCTGACCTCTGGACTGCAAGATCTTTAGTAAAAAGGGAATGCAGACATAAATTAGAAGACAAACTTCAGGAAGCAAAGGAGTATTACACTCTGCTGTTTGCTTTCCCTACCTCACATGATTTGACGAATCAGTAATACTTTAGTGACATTCTAATAGGCAGGAACAGCATTAGTTACTATACAAATAACTATGCTGATGCAGTGTTCTAAATGTACTAATTTTTAGCTGTTGAACTTTTCTATTTTGATTAAAGGCTCTCAGCTTCTGCTCCACTAATTTTAAGTTACATGAAACGTTCTTTATCAACTGTTTTTAAACATAAAACAAAGAAAATTAAGGGGGAGGGAATATTTTCGACTTGCGAGGTTGAGTCCAATGGAAGTGGCTGGTTGAGCTTGGCTTCTTTAGCTGGCAGTTTATCTCTGGAAGGAGGCTCAGGGTCTGCAACAAACCTCAGCGTTCAGGTTACCTATAGGAAAGGGAGCAAACCTAGAGAGAACAAACTTGTGAGTTACTAAAGGAGATGGAGGAAAGTGGCTTAGATAAGGTTTCTCACACACAATTTCATGGGCTTAATTTAAGCCTACTTCTGGTGCTACTTTAATTCAGAGCAAGGCCAAAGCAACCCCTGATTATACTAGAAATGGGTTTCCTGATAGTGCTCGGTTGTCGACTTTATTCCTGTTGTCACTCTGAAGGCTTTCAGTGACTTAAACTTGATTTTTATTTCTTCAGATTATTTCTTATGATCCTGCCAAACATGACCTACAAAAAACTTCTAGTTTTTCCATTGAAGTATTCTAGCAGAGTTCCAAGAAGAACTAATTTTTAGGTCTTTCTGAGACCATGCCCAGTCACTGTTGCCTGGGGTCTTAGGTGTGTGCTTAAAGAAGGCAACAGGATAACATAAGTCACTTACAAACCAGACTGAGCTTCCTCTTACTTTGGCCCTTGTAGTCCTCTTTAGATAAATCAGCAAGTTGTTATCTTTTCCACTGGAAGGCAATTCTTCTAAAGAGGGCCCTCCCCAGGATTTTGGATAGGCCTTCTTCTAGTGTCCTTGTTTTTGGTAATAAATATTCCCCCTTGTCTCTGTCTGGTCTTCTTTTTCCTCTTGGGGGTTTTTCTTGGGGTCCGATCGCCTTACCTTCTGTGGTATTTCCAAAGACAGCATTATTTGGAGGTATCTGGTATTTTACATTTGAAAGAGTCTGACTTCCTTTGGGTCCAACACTTCACAGTTGGCAACAGCTGGCTTCTTGCAGGAAAGCCTGGGCTCCTGCAGCCTCTTAGCACCACAGTTTCCAAGGCCTCCCTCCTGTGGTCCTGACATATAACAGCTTATATGAGCTGGCCTCCTTCAGCCCCAGCACTCGATAGTGTGGGAGGCTTGGCTTCGTGAAGATCCAGCGCTCACAGTTTAAAATAAGCCTGACTCGGTCCTGCTCGCTCATTATCACCACATACCCTGGTGACCACTTCCCTCCTGGCTCCAGACTCCAGCTCCATATGCTCTTGGAAGGAGATGGAAGCTCATCCCTGGCCGGAATCTTTGCAGAGCCTTGACTCTTCACTCAGTCCAGGCATCCTGTCCTGGGAGCAGCCGCTCCTGCTGGGCAGCAGGACTGGCTGGGCCTCTCTTCTCATCGCAGTCTACCTGCTGTCCCAAGATGCCACTTGGTGGGAGCTCAGGACTCCCCATCTCATATGCTATCATACTCGTATGCTGTTAATCTCTCTCATTGAACAACCAGGGTGGGAATGTCCATCCATGACTCCAAGTGGCTGAGGGAGTCTGGTGGGTCCTCTGGAGTATGCTCAGGGTGTATTTTCAAAGACAGCATCATTTGGAGGTGTCTGGCATTCTCGGTTGTTGGATACCCTAGGTGTGATGTCGACCATGCCAAGTTGAGTTTGTGCCAGTGGCTCAGTCCATCTTTTGTAGTCTCCTCCTAATGTCAGGGATGCTCTGGGGAACAAACGTCGGGTTAATTATTCAGACTGTAGCAGAGTTTTCTGAGCCAAGATCCATGTACTTACAGATAGCTTGATGCAGCCTTTCAAAAACAGGAAAAGAATTCCATTTTGTTGCCGCAGGATGGCTTCAGGTTTGGAGTTTCCTTTCTTTTTCTTTCCCTTAGAGACTGAACTTTTTTTATGTTCCCTCAGCCATAGGCTTCTGCCATCTGAATACAAATTAGGCTAAGTGAAGCAATTGTTTTAAAAATAATCTCCATGAAGGCAAGCTGCTACTATTCCTATCTTCTCTTCACCAGCCAGAAGCTGGGTTAAGAAAAGTTGAATTTGCTCACTTAGCAAAGAAAATAGTGATTATTATGTCTGTTATTTTAATAATCACCTTCATGGAAGAGTATGAAATTTTAAAATTTTTTTTTCTCACTTTGACTGATGTGAGGCAGAGGAAAAAAAATATTCATAAGATCGTAGGGTTGCCCATATATATATTATAGAGTTTCTGGATAACTACCTGAGGGGGTATTGTTTGGCCTTGTTTTGAGTAGTCCTGGCCAAAAGGATATGAGGTAAAAAAAAATTATCTAAGCCACTTTCCCTCATTTTTCCTGGAGTGACACTTTAGGTTTTTACTAGTAAGTGTCATTGATGTATTAAAAAAAAAAAACAAACAGAAAAACCAAACACAAACCCACTGGCTTGATTGGGCACTATCTGAAAATTTATGCTTTCTTTCATTTTGCCCCCATTTAACAAGTGTCTCTTACATTCTCCTTTTTATAGTATAGAATATTAAAGGCTTATGTATACAGATTTTACTCAATTTCTTTGACTTCTGGTGAAATATTACTTGCTGAGTAAATTTAAGGATCTGTATAAAGTCTACTTTTTATTTTTTACTATAATTTAAATAACATAAAAGTGTGAAATTTTTACTGAAATAAAAAATATTCTTTTGGCTAAGGATAATATTAGCAAACAGGCCAATTACACAGAATTTTTTCCTAATAGACTTTTTAACTGAAATGGACACTTTTGTTCTTACTTTTGAGCAATGATCTACAATGAAATGAACAAAAGAACAGTGTTAATACATGTGCAGTTCTTACAGGTACACAATCATTAGATACAATAACAATACAGCTTTTGATCAGATACAGCACAAGTTTTACTCATTAAATATAACTTCTACTCATCAGATACAGCAAATTTTACTCATCAAATATAACTTTCACTCATCAGATACAGCATAATTTTTACACATTGGATATAATTTTTACTCGATACAGCACAAATATTACTTGCTAAATATAACTTTGACTCATCAGATACAGAACAAGTTTTACACATCAAATATAATTTTCATGTTTTACTCATCAAATATAACTTTCACTCAGCAGATACAGCACAAGTTTTACTTATTAAATATAATTTTCACTCATCTAATACAGCACAAATTTTACTTATTAAATATAACTTTTATGCAGCAAATACAGCACAAGTTTTATTCATTAAATATAACTTTCACTCAGCAGATACAGCTACTTTTCAAATATAACTTTCAGTCAGCAGATACAGCACAAGTTTTACTCATCAAATATAACTTTTACTTAGCAGATACAGCACAATATTTACTTATTACATATAACTTTTACTCATCAGATATAGCACAAGTTTTACTCATCAAACTCATCAGATATAACTTTTACTCGGCAGATACAGCACAAGTTTTACACATCAAATATACTTATCAGATACAGCACAAATTTCACTAATCAAATAACTCACTCATCAGATACAGCACAAATATTACTAATTCAACAACTTTTACTTATCAGATACAGCACAGATTTTACACATTAAATATAATTTTTACTCATCAGATACAGCACGAATTTTACACGTTAAATATAACTTTCACTCAGCAGATGCAGCACAAGTTTAACTCATTAAATACAATGCAACTTCAGTCAGATCTGATAAAAGCAGGCATCAGTCAAAGTGCTAAAAAGAATGACGAGCAGAGAGCTTCTGATTCTATAAAATGAAGAATGGGAAGGTTCAGTTTCCATTCCTGTAGGTTCTTGTGTAAAGTACAGAAACCAACATAGGCACAACTTGTGCAACAAATACAGATTTGGGGTGGGTACTCATGTCAACCCACTCACCCAGATGTCTGTGGGCAGCTCATGTTAAGCAACTCTCCCAGATCTCTGTGGGAGAGTTCATGCTGACCCACTCACACACATCTGAATGGGAGGCTCAAGCCAACCCACTCAGATTGGAATGGATGGCTCACGCCAACTCGCTCCGAGGTAACCGGTTACAGGTGTACACACGTGCATTCTCCAGGGCTGGCCAAAACAGAATTTTTTACTAAGCGCGCAGTTACCAGAAAAAGTACATGGATTCACAAAGGCGATAGAGGATGCCAAGAGTTGATTTCTCAAAGGTCTCTTGAGACAAAAGATCTCCTTGGCGCGCCTTTGGATGGTTGAGAAACCTGCTCTTGGCGTTCTCCTATCCTCGAGATTCAGAATCCCCTAACGAGCAAAAACAAAAAGTTTTTACTTACCAGGTGAGTCTGAAGGTCCCATCTGGGTCACCAAAAATGTTACTAAACACAAAGAATTCTGAACTTTTAAATCTCTCTCTTTCTTTCTTACGTGCGTGCGCGCGCGCACTCACTCACACACACACACACACACACACACACACACATTTCTATACCTGTATATCTATATTGGGTGGGGGTATATCTGTATGTACCAAAACCCACCACCACCAAATTGATTCTGATTCACAGTGACTGAGTAGAATCTGCCCATAGGGTTTTTAAAGGCTCTAGCAAACTTCCTCTTCTTTCTCCCATACAGTGACTGGGTTTGAATGGAACATTTGGTTAACAGTTGACTTCTTTAAGCACTCCTCTCCTACCAGGGATCCTTAATTATAAATGTGTAGGGGCCATTGGTGGTTTAGTGATAAGAAGCTGCTCTGCAATTCTGAAAGTACATGATTCATATCCACCAGCTGCTTCACAGGAGATAGATGAGCATTCTCCTCCCATATAATGAACTGCCTTTGAAAATCTGCCTGAGTGTCAGCTATGGGTCAGTCCCAACTCAACAGTACATAGCAACAACAACAATTTATATATTAACATAATCAATATGTATGTATTATTACTAGGGAGCTAAAATATGAATTATTTCATGATTGTTGCTTAAAACTGGAACTGGTAATGATTTTTACTAGAATATGCTGGAGTCCGGGTGGTACAGTAGGCAACATGTTATGTGGCTGATTGGGAGTTTGGTGAAAAGGTGGGCATTCATATGTAACAGACATCCCACCTCAGAAACCTGTGGAAGGTACGATGAGTTGGAAGTGACTCAAGAGCAGTGAACTTTTTGAGTGAGAACATAATAAATCTGACTTTTGAGTATAAAAGCTACTGAAAATGTTTTGGTTTTGCTTCCTTAGTCCTAATTCATTTGCTGTGATCAGGTAGCCAATAGATATGAATGGCTTAGAAGAAATTTCTAGTTAGCACTGAAAACGTAGGACACAGTTAACACCTATCTATTGGTAAAAACCCAAACAAACTAAAGCTATATGTATAAAAATGAAACAGTGCTCTTTATTAATGTGTCTGACCTATGTTTGAACTTTTTGTGTTATATTTTATATCCACAGAACTTCCTGAATAAATTTCAAACAGCCAAGGAAGCTCTGAGCGCTGCCACAGCCCAAGCTGCAGAAAAGGCTGTCACAAGTGTGAAAGATCTTGCTCAGAGGAGTTTCCGTGTTTCCATCAATGTTGATTTGAAAGCACCAGTTATAATCATCCCGCAGTCTTCTGTTTCCACCAATGCAGTAGTGGTAGATCTGGGGTTAATTAGAGTTCACAATCAGTTTATTCTGGTAGGAGATGAAGACTGCTTAAATCCACCAGTAGTTGACAGAATGGATGTGCAGCTAACAAAGCTGAAACTTTCCAGGTATACTCTGAATAATTACGGAGTTGAATTATTGTATTAATGCTTTATGTAACCTTTCATGACCTTTAGAGTTTATACCTAAAATATATATCAGTTAAACAGACAACTTTTTAATCAGTTTTTATTTGAAAAATTTCAGACTTGTAGAAGAATTAGAAGCAGCATAATATGAGCACATCTATCCATCTTTCGCTTAGATTCACCAGTTGTTTATGAATGCTTTTTTCACTTTGTAGTACATATTATTATTATGAAAACATTTATTTGCTTTGTTGTTTAACAGAATTTTGACATCTAGACAGTTAGGTTCTAGGTATCTGAGCATGCATTTACTAAGAACAAAGATACTTGTTTACATATCCACAGTCCATTTGCCAAATCTGGAAATTTAATATTAATGTAATAATAGTATCTAATGCGTGATCCATATTCAAATATACCAGTTGTCCCAATAAATAATTTTGGGAATTTTTTAAAGTAATTTTTCTCCCTGGTCTCAATCACGTAATATATTTTAACTGTATCATGATGTTGTGGTAGTGGTGTTGTGTGCTGTTGAGTTGGGACCAACTCATAGCTGACCCTCCCACAGGTTTTTAGAGACAGTATATTGCCCAGGAGGAAATTGCCCATCCTTCTCGGAGCAGCTGGTGTATTTGAATTATATGCTTATGGTTTTGCAGTGCAGCTTCTTAGCACTAGGCCATCAGAGCTTGATATTACTTTCCACACTGATATTAATTTTCACACTGATAGATAGTACTTCAGCTTTCTCTTGGTTTTCATCAAGGAAATAGTTTGGAGATTATAATCTAGTTTCTATGGAGACTATGAATTTGATTAGTTGGAATGTTTCCTTGTCAGATGATAAATTTTGTTGAAGGAATATTATGTCAGTGCTCCCCCAGGTGACACATGAAATCACTTTTGTACACAGTTCTTTCTTAAAATCCCCCATCTCAGGGGATTTGATTATCCAAGTGTTAAGAAGTAAGGATTATAACACAAATTGATAATAATGACCCAGAGAAAAACTTTATGAAGCTCTTTGTAAAAATTTTACCTGGTTACATTGCTATGGTATTTTTTTCTTCTCTTTAATCTCTGTGCCAGTGTACATAGCAGTTCTTGAACAACTGTATTTGTTTATTTCTCATATATCTTCAACACTATGAATTTATTTTTAAAATACATTAAATTTCCCACTTATCTATTGTTTGGGAAGTTCTCTGGTAGCCTAATGGTAAGAAGCTGCATGGCAATCCTGAAGGCATACAATTCGAATCCACCAGCTGCTCTATGAGAAGGATGAGCAATCTCCTCCCATGTGTTTTACTAGAGGGTCAGCTATGGATTGGTTCCAATTCAATGGTACACAACAACCACATCCACTATTTTAAGGAGTTTTCATACTTGTTCATGGTTTATTTTATATTGTAATTTGTGTCTGCTTGTAGATTACATATTTATTTTAGAGCTAGTCTGGAAATGTAGCATAGTTCAAATCTGTGTTTTGGAGCATCAACTTCTGACGTTATTTATGTTTTTAAAATATTTGGATTACCTCCATACCTGCATATGTATTAATTACCTCTTTTATTAGGACAGTGATTCAACCAGGCATCTCTCATCCTGATATTCAACTATTGTACCCAATAAACTTGGACTTTTATATAAATCGGAATCTAGCTGCCTTGTGGTACCACAAAATGCCTGTTGTAGAAATCAAAGGACATATTGATTCCATGAATGTAAGTGTGTGTGTGGAAAAACTATGTCATTAAAATTTTAGCTTCTAGACTTTCTCATTAGAATTAAAATAAAGAGCTTTTTGATAATATATTAAGAAC